AAGTGGTTGAGTGTATTGACAAATTTAGTTATTTGAGAAGTTGCATCATCCCTTATGGAATGATTGTCTACGCGAACCCAACACGGATGCAAAAGGCCTATGTGGCACTTCACAACTTACGTCATCTCCAGTGTCGACGTGATATCTAGTTATTTGTTAAACGTGCGTCGGTGGCACAGTGGTTAGGACTCTCGCCGACCATGCACATGGTCCGGGGTTCGATCCTCTGCCGGCGCACACCCGATATCTATGGTCGGCCCGTAAATTTGGGCTACCGATATCCATGCTGAAAATTCCACACTTGTACTGAAAATACGGTGTGGAATCAAGCTGTAAATCAAAAATAAATAAAAAAGATATGTGGGCTGTGCAGTATTACAGAAATGGCTAGGATGTGTTATGCATGCCGATTTATCGCTTTCTTCGTTGAGGAATCTCAGCTGACATAGGATTGTGTTGGGGTGATCGAATCAAAACATGTCATTAGTACATGAAGTTTTCCACTGTTGATTTGAGCCGCATGTTCACTGTCTGATAAGGGTCCTTGAAGTGATAATAAAAAATTGCTTCAAACTTTTGGCGATATGCCTCGAAGTAGTTATTAGTGGAACGGACCCATTATGTCTTCATTTTCCCTAAATGTAAATTCTTTCTCCCGTACATTTCTACCCATTATAGTTCTTTAGAGTACTTTTCTCTTCCTTTTTTTTTAATAATAATAATTTGCTTTATTCCAAAGCAGTACTTGTGATACAGAATGGAATCCTTAGTATTTTTACTACAGTATTCTACATAGATTAAGGAAGTCTCAGTTCATTATGACAACAACATATTGGCATGTCGGTAGAAAAGATAAAGCTGAACAGTGTTTGAAGGTGTTAGAAAAGTAGGTGCTGTCATATTTACTGGCGTAAGCGGAAGAAAGAAACAAAGCAGCACATTACGGAAAAAAAGAGAGAGAGAATAGGAAAAGAAAGAAAGAAAATGTTGTACCTGTAAATGATATGAGTTGAAAAGACTAGGTCCAGTTGTACTACTGACTATTTAGCGAATTATAGGTGTCACGCCTAATGCTTTCTTTATCGCACAGAACACGAGCTAAGTAGGGTATGGTTGAGTTTTTGTACTTGCTGGTGCGAGCATATAGTTTTCTATATAGGCTTCTGGTTTTGCCTGATGAGATGCAAGGGGAGAGTTGTGAGTGAAGAGGGTGGTGTGGGTTAGTTAAAATGGATTTGGCCCATTTTTCACATGAGTCCATGTGCCTGTCAACCAGAATAATAACAAGCTGGTTAAGTAGCACGTTGCTTACCCTGCTAACAACATTTAACATCCTGCGTAATATGTTATAGTCTTTCTTCAGCAGCCCGGGAAAAACTAAGGGGGAACAATAGAGAATAATAGGCAGAATGCGAGAATTAACGAATTGTAGGAGTAAGGGTTGGGTAATACCAGAATGTTTTAACTTCTTGATGTAGAAGGTAAGACGGAATATTTTCTTAGAAATTGCTAAGATATGAGACGACCAGGAGAGATCAGCAGATAGAATGACACCTAGGTATTTAATTTCCGATTTAGTTTCTATTTCAGTGCCGTCTATGTTGCATACCTCGTGAGAGCCAACCAGTTTGTTTAGGTCGGATTTATGCCTAAAAGTGAAATTGAGTGTTTGGCATTTGGAGGGGTTTAGGGTAAGACCATTTTCCTTGGACCACTGGCTGATTTCTGACAGAAAGCCATTAAGTTTAGAGCAGTCACTTTGACATTTGATAGGCAAAGATACAAACAGATCGTCAGCGTATTTGACAAAATTAATGTCATTTGAAGATGGTAAGTCATGTAGGAAGAAAGAAAAGAGAAGTGGGGAGAGTACAGCACCTTGGGGGACACCGGTTTCAGTGAGCACAGCAGAGGATGATTTATCTTTGTATACGGTGTACTGCTTTCTGTTAGAGAAGTAGGAATGCAGCCAGTTAGTGACCCAGGACTCAGTTTTTGTCAAAGAGAGCTTATTTAGCAGGAGACATCTAGGTACAGAGTCGAAGGCAGAAGTGAAATCGAGAAACGTGCAGCGGACGTATTTGGCACCTTTATCTAATGATGAGACGATGTTGTTGTGTAAGACGGCTGCAGCGTCTAAAGTGCTCCTACCCTGTCTATAGGCAAATTGTTTGGGGTCTTCAAAGTTTTTAAGGGAGGGTTCAAGTTTAAGAAGTACTAGTTTTTCCATAAGCTTTAGAAACGGGGAAGTGATGGCAATGGGTTTGAACTTTACGTTCTTGCCTTTTCCAGGTTTAGGGACAGGGACAATTTTAATGTCTTTCCATGCATCAGGTACGACATTTTTGGAGAAAGAAGCATTTAGGATGTTAGTTAGTAGAGAACGCAAAGCATCTGCACATTGTTCTAGAACATATGCAGGTATACCATCATGGCCAAGGCTACGTGAGAGCTTGAGCGTTTTAAGATATTTTAGAACATCGAGAGTATTAAAGTCATGAAAGTTTTCAGCTACATGATGGGTAACATTAGAAGTAGTTGTTATAGTAGAAGGACAGCGTATAAAAGACTGATTAAGAGCATTAACATCATAAGAGGGAAAAGCATTACAACGCTTACTATTGCCAGTAATTTCATTAAAAAGTTTTCACATGCTGATAGGAGATTTGCATGCTATCCGCAAATTTCTACTCTGAAACTCAGTCAATCAGCTGAACTTGTCTTAATTGGCTCATCTGTTGTGGACACACATTTGTCCATTAAGCAAAACAGCGATCTAGGTATTACATAGCTTTAAAATCAGCATCTTTTAGTTCACTACTCTGTACATTAAATTTGAATCTTTTAGTTTTTTCTCACAATTAAAATCATGTTCAGGGATGACACAGAACTTGTGTTTCAAATACTCTAAAATGAAATATTTTTATTCATCTTTCGAAGCAAGTTACTAATCCTAATACTCGTTACGTTTTCGTACATATTATTTAGTATAAAAATGACATGAAGATGACAGTGTACATATATATATATATATATATATATATACCCTTTTTATCAACTACATGGTATAATTATGTCCATCTGAAATATTTGATATGATATCGGACAATCCAGTCATACATTTATTTGTCAAGGTATTTTTCTACGAAAATTAAACCAGATTAAATAGAAACAATCAAGATAACAGGTCGTAGAATAATGAACTACGAATAAGACAGAAGTGGTCAAAGTAGGCTTAATATAGACAAGAATTTCACTAAAATACAGAACCCTTTATACGGCTAAAGCTTCATGGAATTTAAATATGCTCTCCCAAGGATTTCTATAAACAGTTTTACAATCCGTCTAATATTCACCTTATAATATTCGCTTAGAGATACAGACGGCAAATATCAAATGCGTTTATCAAAGTTTAAACAACCAAATGTTTTTGAATCTATGTTGGAACATATTTTACCATCCTGAAATTCTTAACTTACTACTACCTTGTATGCACATGTCCACACATATTTATTGTGGTAAATACTCTGACATGTAACGCCTTGACTGAAAGGATCCTGGGTTCTATGCTTAAACAAGTGTATCATTTTCATGATAACTGTGGACTTAGCAACAGGTAAGTATTATTCTTCTTCTTATCGAATTTCACTATGCCTCGGGTAGGATGATGCAACAGTTATTCTTCTGGATAAGGTGCATAGTGTGTTACAAAGTTATACTAGTTTCCTATTGTTTTGGATATATCTGATTCAGTATGCATTTATCAACAGCTTTCCAGAAAACATTGAACTGTTCTGATAAATAGTATGCATTTGATAAATACAGTGCTGTAGATACTTTCATATCCATACACAGACTACTTATATGTAGACTGCTTTATTGAATCATAATCCTACTCACTCGAGAGTATATCAGAAAACGGTAAGTAGTTTTAATAGTAGACTTTCACGGTACAGATACTTTTAAACAAAATAAATTTTGTCTACTTGCTTGCAATATGTTATTTCCCTCAATATGTTTTTGTTTCTCTATAAAAACAGCCGAAATATAGAAAACCCAGAACCACATATATCAAGAACATTAAGAAGAAATTCGAAACCTCATTTATGAATAGTGAATGAAACCTTGATAAGAATTACGCAAAACTCGAAGCTTTAAAAGCCTTTATAAACCAAAAGTGACGAATGGCAATGAAAACCTCTGTCTGTTTAGTTTGACAAATCTAAGTATTTAAAAAAAATACCGGTACAGCTATTCCATAATGGTTAAATTTTGTTTTGATAAAGTCTCACAGTGTTATACAGTAATGTTTACTGATGACGTTTCGAGCACAATTTATTGCTCATAATCATATCAAGGTAATCACACAACTTCCTAAATTCAGATTGTCAGAACATAAGAATTTAGCTAAGGTAAGAATGGTTGACCCCGAGAAGATAAGTAATTTAGAAAAAAGGTCAGCAATTGCAATGCATGCATTAACACACAACCACACAATAGTGTTGGAGGGGGTTAAAATTCTAAAAAGTGATCTAGGTAGGTAGAGAGAGAGAGGTTGATTGCTGAATCCTTGTTCATCGAATCTACACCCAACACATGCAATAGGAATGATTCATCACTCATACCCGAAATATGGAAAATACTACTACCAATCAAATCAAGTGAAAAACAATGGAACTATATAAATGAATTTAGGAAGTTGTGTGATTACCTTGATATGATTATGAGCAATAAATTGTGCTCGAAACGTCATCAGTAAACATTACTGTATAACACTGTGAGACTTTATCAAAACAAAATTTAACCATAATTGAATTACACTCTACCATAGTGCACAAGTTTTATTCTTATATCAACGGTACAGCTATGTTTAAACCAGCTTCGTTTAATAATTATTAATTTCATTGATGATAATGTTTTCTAAAGTTTAGTAATCCTTCTAACAAACTATTGCATTTAAACGGAATGAAAAATTTGTTGACTTTTCACCTTGTTTCCAGACTCAAATGATGCGGCAATTATCCCCGATCTTCCAGTCGACAGATCATTTCAAAGTCATACCAACTTGAGATACAATTCACAACAACTTCTTGTGATTCGCTTAAGAGCTGTTATCTTACCCCGTATTCTCTTCACTCTAATAATGTTATGTCTGTTGAGTTTCAGTGTAATCTTAAGACTATATAAGCCATGGTCTGGCAAATTTGGTGCGTACTGTACATTTCCAAATGGTTCATTTATATCGCAAAAAGGTCAAAATGATATTTTGTCAAATAACATAAACAAACTCCTTTTAGATGGTGATACTATTTTATTGAATGGCTCCAATGAAACTTGTTTAATATCTGTTCCATAGACGTCTGGTTTTGCTTTTTAATAATGACAGAATGTATTGAATGCACTTTCCTGTATTTATCATGAAAATCATTGTTATTGCTATCACTTCTTTGTGTACTTCTCCGCAATAAATGTAATTTGTATGATATTTTGCAGACATTGACAAATCAAAATAAATTGTTTTTATGATCTATAAAGACGGTCTCTACTGTCTGAATGAATTTGCCACAAAATCTGTCATTTGACATTGCTACCTCTCCATATTGAATATACTCAAAACCTGACTATATATAAGGTTATGCAATTTTAAGGAGTGTACACTTTGAGTTTTGCTCCTAACCAACACAAGATGTTTAAATTAGTTTTATGTTATTATTATTCCATTTGTGCGTCGGTAGCACAGCGGCAGAGTGCTCGCCAACCACGCAGGTGGTCCCAGGTTCGATCCCCGGCCACCGACGCACTCCTTTACCTCATTAAGCTAGTAATAGGACTGGTAAAGAGGGAAGGTTGGGCATGAGGCTAGCAACTCCATCCTGTAAAAATAATCACCACTGCTACAGAAACTTCAAGCCTCTAGCTTGAAGATCCATGTTCCATTGGGAACGTAAAAGAATAAAAATAATAAAAAAATTATTCCTTTAGGTTCCGAATGGAACATAGGGCTTCAACAGCTCCAACAACTCCATTTTTATCCTATTCTCTGAAGTCCAATTAACCTAGCACAACGATTGACCACATGCTTTCATCTCCTTCTCACACGATAACCACCATGTCACCGTTGGATTCACACTCAGCCCATCGTCACTCGAGATATGGCCTGGCACGCGATATCACATAACGGACGAGATTAGCACTGAATGCATTTTGGAAATGAAATAATAATCTCACTGGAAATAAGCCTTTGTATAATATTTTATGCCCAGTAGAAATGTATGAATTATTTTTCTTTCTAAAGTTTACGAATGAACTTGACACATGAGAAGTCCACTAATAATTCTGTTAAACTTTGTGAATACACAATAGAATGTCAACGCACAAATCAGTAAAAGTTGGACTATTTGCAATGTTAGAGTAGAATTTAGGCATCTTAGTTGGTTACACTTCTATATTAGATGAGTATATTCGATATAAAACACAGTGAATGCAAGATCCCTATTTTAAAGAATAAAAGTGTATTTTAGACACACTTATCGTCAAACAGCACTGTTTCAACAGGAAAATGAGTTCCACTTTTCTTCACTTAGTCTACTTTTTACATGATCTAATGTAATTCTACCACTTCAATAATAAACTAAGATACACTATCGCATTTGACCACTTCCATGTGTATCTACCAATTCACCTGCTCTTGCGGAGCGAGGTATATAGGTCGTTCGATGTGAGATATGTCTAAAAGAGTTCAAGAACACTATCCCGCCTGGCTACGGAAAGGTAACAACGGAGCAATAAGGAGCGCCATTATTGAGCATATACTCAACACTGGTCATTCGATTTGCAAGGAGAAGTCGTTCAAAGTCATCTATAAAGTCAAAAGAAGCCTTCCAAAATCGACAAGCTTCCGTATACTTTGCATTGCTGAAGCCTTAGCGATTTGGATAGAAAAGCCTGATTTATGCACACAGAAGAAACTTCTCCACTCCCTCCTACTACCGTGGGTTTAATTTCAAGTTTATCTGTCATCAACATTTTGTTATCAAATTTTTTTGCAGTCTTCGTATAATAATTTTTAGTAACTAACCCATTCAATCTTTTCACCTATTATCCAGTTTATTTTCATAATTGTCTCCATACTCCTTCACTAGCATCTAATCTTTCTAAACATGTCTATATTACGTAACCCTACTCACATCTTACCAATCATCACCCCACTTAGTTACAGCTTTGATTATTAATCACACATTTTAATTTCTTTATTATTTTGATGATGTAACCCTATTCACATCTTGCCAATCTTCACCCCACTTAGTTACAGCTTTGATTATTAATCACACATTTTAATTTCTTTATTATTTTGATGATATAATCAACAACCCACACTAACTGTTATTTTGATTTTGATTTTGACAAACCTAATGTACACACACACACACAAAATAATTGTATATATTTGCGACTGTACAGCTAAGTGAATGAATTCGCCGAAAAGAGACTCTTCGCTGAACTAATTTTTTCTTATTTCAATGTCTTAATGAGTATATTTCGCGAAATTAAAATTGGGTTTGTAGGAAGTCGAATGACAAATTGAGGGCGTAATACAGTAAGCAGGATTCAAAAGATTAAAAATTAAGTCTAATATAAGTCAAGTGATTATCACTGACTTTTCCCCACCAAATTTGTTCATTTTTCACAAGAAAATTTTATTTCACTATGATTTTCTTACAGCAATCCTCACTGAAGGACTGTTCCTTGATGATAAATAAAATGCATCTTAAGACTCTATTATGACTTCTTTACTTGATGTTATAGGTTGTACGCAATTATTTGTCCTCACAACCGTCTTGGTAGGCACTATGAGCCACGACTTTGCACTGAAACTTAAGGCAACTTCATCTTGTAGTAAGTCACTAGCAAGAACTGGATTAATTTTCAAGGATTGGCCTTAGAGGCTAAATGGTATACAACGTGGCATTGTAGTCCGAAGAACCTGGGTTCTATCCCTGCTGAATTCATTGTTGCAGAGTCTAAAAAAAGACAAAATAGCTATCTAGTATTCCCTGGTTCTTTGAATGAAGTTAGTTTGTGACGAATTTTCAAATTATTACATTTCAACCCACGTTAATTTGCGTTATTGTTTGGTTAGCCTGCTGTTGAAATTTTTGGCTCCTCTTGGTCAATTGCTACAAGAAACGTGTTTTACTTTAATTTCTAGTTTAGATGTATTCATAATGAAGCAGAATGTCTGAATATTTTTGTTCTACATCACTTTCCTAGCTTTGAAGATATGAGTTGTCCAAATTCATTCAGCTGTGCTTCATTAACTGTCAGTGAGTAGCTTTAGTTAGGACATTCACAACAGTTTATGTTATTGTTTTTATGTTTCCAGGCCTGTTATTTATCAGTTGTTGATGTTCGTCAGTTGCAGTTTCTAGTTACAAATCGCTTACTAGGTAAAGTTACACAACATGAATTCGTGTGTGTTTATCACAGTAATATTCATGTACACTGTTCAAACGCATCCCCTTCGGTAGGCAAAGGAAGGTAATCTGCTGTTCCGATAGCAAGAGATATTTTGACTTAATAGTATTCTCTGGTTGATTTAAATCAACCAGTTCAGAGAACACAATTAAGTCAAAACCAATCACCTAAGCTACAAATCTTCTTGATTATCAAGAGATATTAGAAGATTTCTTGAAGAAGTCATGCCCGTCGACCGCTAATTCCAAGTGTTGGGTGTTTTAAGTCATCCGCAAGCAACTCCTACATACTATTTGATTAAAAAGTATAACAGCGTGTTATAGCAGTTCAAGAGCATAATGCACAACATTTCAATCAGAAAAACCGTTATCATGAATTCAGAGAAATGAGAGATATCTGTAGTGTGTGATACGCATGATTATGCTAAAACCGTGATTAGCGCTTCCCAAGTGTGTTGTGCTTTCAGTCAGAAAGTATCGTAAGAAACACACCTAAGTTGTATGATTAAACTCAAAATCCATAGCAAGCACCTACATGCACCGTCTTGTCAAGGCACAGACAAATCAAATGGAAATGTTTTCTTTACTGACCTTATAGTCTTATCCCATTATTGCAAACTCAAAAGTGCAGCACTTCTTAATGAACTACTGGATACCTTAAAAAGGGATACGTTTTGCTGAATATATACATGACACTGTTGTACAACGGTACCTACAGCAGAGTTGAAAGTTCTCATTGGCAGGCGTGGAAATTGACAATGCTTGCTGGCAAGTTAATTGCTAAAGACTATAGCCGCAAACGTCGGATGTACATAGATGTGTATTCTAATGACGAGGCCTTTGTCACTGACAACATGCCACATATTGTGCCATGCTATAGCACAGTTAGGAGACTGTGCATGGAGTTAATCAGTATGCACAGTCGATCGAAAAAGGAATCTAGCGAGAGGGGAAATTAGTGTGCCCAACAGTATGGTGTTTATATAGCAGGGTCAAGAACCAGATATTACAGTGAACTGTTTTAGTAAGCAGCCATTATGAACCATTAAGTAACGGTAATTTTCGTTATTTATTGTTTATCAGAGAACTTCTAATATTTATGATATATCCATCAAGGTAACTTATCAATGTAGGAATTAATATTAAGTTATGCACATAATTACAACTCAAGAACTGACCATTTGTCTACAAAAATTCAAAAGAATTTAATGTAGAAAAATTTACTTTTAAGAAATTCATCAAGGATGCTTAGTATGAATTACACATTCATTTTTATTCCCGGATCCAACAAGCTATCAGAATGGTAATCAGTTATAAATTGAAAAATTACTTTTATGAAATAAGAGTGAATACCAGGTGTTATGTTGAAGTTATAAATCTTTACTCATAACATACATTTCTCCTCAAAGTCCTCCTTACAGTATGATCCCTGAGGTTGTGGAAGTAGACTTTGAAAGCCACAATTACTCTCCTACATTTCGCACTCCTTTATGATAGATGAAACGAATTTACAAATAACAAGAAGTAATTAATTAAAATTCAGATGTATGAGATGTGAGCAGTTTGTAGAAGTAACACTTTATTAAGAACACCTTAGTTAGTGAGAATGAAATTCAGTAGATGTCCAATAGAGGCTTTTGCAATTTACGTCAGTCGACAGATCAGTATGCTAATGTGAATGATATAAATGGTTAACTGACAATTAACAATGGATCTCTAAATTTTGGATTCTGTAAGGATTTTACAAGAACCTGAGTTTCATCCTATTTCCTCAAAGGAAATTCCTGTCGTTGTTATCGGTATTATCCTTGAAACCCCTCAGTAACGTCATCAATTATAATAACAATAAATCTTGGGACTACGTGATGCACTTTACTGTAGA